TAATAATAATAAAATGTACATCAGTCATATTAATAATAATAAATTAATCATATTTCATATACTCACAATGGATTTGCTGTGGCGATGTCTATTAATAAATCAAATTTGTTTTCCTTTCGATTTTTTATAACAAGAGTCTTGAGTTTATTCAAAGATATATATGTATATGTATATATATGTGTGTGTATGTATAATTTGTGTTTGTTGTTGCAGAAATAGTTCTGTAATATTTGATTTCAGTTATTCAATTATTGTAGTTTGTAGAATTAATTTTTTGTTTTTTGTTTAGTTTTTTGTTTTCTTTTTAAGGTCTAGGAAAATGTTAAATGGAATCAAAAAACCGAAGCACAGCTGTGCTTACATCGATTTAGCCTAGGCTTACTTATTAATATTACAATAATCGGTTAATTTCATTCAATTTTTTTTTTTATTTTTGTAGAATGTTGATTTTGTTTTCATTTTGTAAATCTAGCTAAAAATGTTTTTTATTTATTTATTTTATATTTTATTTAAATTCATTTAGATGATTTGAAGTTTGATTTTGAATGTCATTTTACAGAGTTGATTCGCTTCGATTTGATTTGTTTTTGTTTTTTTTTTATGGCATTCATATACACATAATTGTTAAATAACTAAAAGGAACTAATTATTAAATAAATTAGAGCTATCCATTTAAGCACTAATAGTTGGCTATTTACAATTCGATCGACTACTCTATTTACACTGATAGGTTCACGAGGAGCCCTCGCTCGGCTGCGCCCATTACAGCTGGCTGCTCTGCTGCGCCTCGTCGCACTTCTTGACCAGCACGGCGGGCGGCGGCGGTGGTGGCGGTGTTGCCGCATCCGCATCCAGACAGCCGCGGTTCAGCAGGTAGTCCAGATCGTGGCTGATGCGATCCAGAGTCGCATCGCCGCCCGCACCCTTGCCGCTGCTGTCCACTCCGGCGGTCTGTGTGGACGGCGTCACGGACACTGTGCTGGTGGCCGTGGTGGTTGTGGTGGACACCACGGCGGCCACCATGGTGGGCAGCATGGGATCGAAGGTGGTGCGCGACGTTGGCTCCAGTATGGTCACGCGCTTCTGCGTCTTTGGCGTGGGCAGCGTGCCGCTGGAGAGGATGGCGCCGGCTCCACTCAGATTCCCGCTGATGGTGGGTGGCCCCGGTCCCGGTCCCGGCCCCGGCCCTGGCCCTGGCCCCGGACCTGCCTGCATGCTGAGCAGCATGGGGCTGGGCACAAAGTCCACGTACGGATTGTGCTGCAGCGGCACATAGTGGGGGGGCGTGGCCGTGTGTATGCCAATGATGCTGTCTGCAAGTGCGCGATGCGGTTAGCCATACGAAAGAGTCGCGCCCAGTCGCGCCCTCACTTACCTGCTGCCAATCCCTGTAGAATGTCCAGCGTCTCGACGCCCACGAATTCTTCGCATGGCCCCGTGGCATAGTGCGGCTGATGGTGGTGCAGGATGCGCCTGCCCAGGCTGCCCGTCAGGCCGCCCATTGTGTAGGCGTCGTACGCATAGCCCAGGCCACTGGGCGCCTCAATGCCAGCGCCAGCACCAGCACCGACTCCTGCTCCCCCGCCGCCGCCCCCTAGCAGGGCACAGCAGCGCGTGGCTGGCGAGGCGGCCGCCGTCAGCGGCAGCTGCTGATGCCCGCCCAGCAGCGTCTCTGCCGTGCTGCTCACAATGGCCGCCTGGCAGCGCGGCGCCGTCGAGATGATTGTCAACGGCAGCTGCACAGCCCCGGCGGCTGTCGTTGACAGCTCCAGGCCCTGCTTCTGCTGCAGCGGCGCAGCGCCCGTTCCGCTCGGCCCAGCTGCGACCACTGCGGCTGCTGTTCCGCCTCCTGCTGCTGCTGATGGGGCCAGGCACTCGCTCTCCTTTTCCTTGTCATGATTCGTATAGACTGCAAACGATGGACAAATGTGGGTCGAGTCAGTCAAGTCGGTTGAGAATCGAGAGCTCATCTCATTCGACACTCCATGGCGCCAGGGGCTACTTACAGCTCAGTGGACTRTTTATGCTGGCCGTCGTCGTCGTGCAGTAGTTGTCGTCCAGGCTGGTCTTGCTCGTGTTGAACTTGGTCTGCTTCAGCGAGCTGCTCTGGCTGCTGCCGTTGCTGCTCAGGAATGGCGGTCCTCGCAGTTGACTCTCCGCCTTGAGCACAAAACAGAAGAGAATGGCAAAGCCCTGCAAAGAACAGATTTTTCATTAGTATAAGAAATGCTACATATCAATTTTAAGAGTATCGTTTTATAGACTGATGTTTCAATAATGAATTGAGAGAGACAGCAAAAGACAGACAAAGGGACAAAATTCTTCAGAAGCTTAGCAATGTATTGTATTTCTATAAGTAATATACATTCTGTCGAAAAAGTACCCGGAAATTTCAAATAAAACACAAACAACTTATCAATCATCTAAATTTATTATATCCCCTTCAAAATAGGCCCCTTCTGAGGCAATGCCTTTCTTCTAACGAAATTCCAATCATCGAAACACTTTTTAAAGCTATATTATGGGATAGCCTTCAGTTCTCGTTGCGAATTAAAAAAACACGTTCACAATGATCGCTTTTTGCGTTGGTGCATTACCGTGGTGCAAAATCCAACTGTTGTTCCGCCAAAATGTGGTCTTTTGAGAAGAACTAGATAATATTCTTTATTGACGGTTTGGCCCTCCGGTAAGAATTCCGAATGAACAACACCAAGAATTCTTAAGTTGAAGAGGTCTTGAACGTGGTAAATGTTTTTTCAATATTTCCAACGTTTTGGCGTAAGAAATTTCATTTGAAACACAAAATTTCACACAAACTCTTTATTCGATATTTTATCCATAGTAAAAATCGCAACGCACACAAAAGATTGACTTGTTCCTAATTACGCCGTAACCAGACTAAATGACACATAGTATTAAAAATTAACAGAATAGTGGCTAACAGTTGTGCCAACCTGGGAAAACAATTTTTTTTAATTTTATAAATATTCTCAATGGGAAAATTTAAAATGAGAATTTCCGAGAACTTATTTAACAGAATATGTTTTCAGGAGCGAGATATATTATTTTATCATCAGCTGAGGGATATATTCAGCAACAAATTTTAGAAAATACAAACATAAATA